AGTCACCTCTCCTTTGTTTATGAATTCATTATGTAAGCAGAACAAAGATTTGCAACTACCAGGCGATTCATTGTTATGTATTTCAAAGCTTCTGACAACTTTCATCAAAGTGGTTGAGCTGTTAATGTATTCACTTTTGAGATTTCCTCTCCTCTTATTTCAGGCCTCCATCTCCCTCCTCCGCCCGCGTCTCACCACAGAACTACAGATGATCAGTGAGTTTCCCTGCTAACAACTTTCTCTGCCTTTGGCCCTCGGTTCACACAGCACTGCTTTTTCACCTGTCAGTAGAAGAGGAGGAGATGAATTCCTTTCCCGACAATGTAATTACAGTCAGGACTCCTGGCTCCTCATCAAGTAGCATAAAAGCTGAGAGGTTTCGTTTTTGTCACAACTCTCTGCAAGAAACGCCACCGCAGTAATTCCTTAAGCCTGTCACGTACACGCCTCTAGCAGGTGGGTGGTCAGGAGCTGGATGCAGAAATAACAATTCTGCTATCAAAAAGCTTCAATATAAAAGACAGTTACACAGACGTAACAGAAACACAATGATAAAGGAGGGTAAATGAGTGTAGAGTGGAGGGAGGGAAGAGCAGATAAAACAGATTTCAATGTTCAGTGTGTAGATTAGTATGCACACACATTTAAAAAACGATTCAGGAGGTAATTACAAACAGGTGACTGCAGACTGTGTCACATCAGTTTTTAATATATTAAATGTCAGAGAGCACAATTAGATTTACTTGAAAATTTAATCTGCCCTAATTCATTTTGATCGTCATAAAAACAGCCACATTTATTTTATAACATTTAAACAAATGAAAAAAAGAGATGGGGTAAGAGGACCTGGTCGTGACAGTCTATATTGTAAACCTGAGATTCAACGTGTCCTGCCTCCTGCATGCTTCACTCAAGTGTCACCCCTCTCCTGAATGTGAATCTGAATTTTAACAGTAGATATTTGATTATTTACACTGAAGAATCACAGAGAACAGACTCTGGTTCAGATCTAATTTTGATTACAGACCCTTAAAACTGAGAAAAACCAGAGTAAAGTACTGACAGATGATGCAAAATCGAGAGCTGCATAGAAACCTCTGTGTCAGATTAAAAACACAATCTACTGTCACGTGTTCAACACCATGAGTAGATTTCACACAAGTAATAATTTGCTTCAGTATGAAATTATGATAATCATGACAGCGCAATTACATCCAAGCAGGGTGACTTCCCCACTGTTTGACATGTATATCAAGCAGATAGCACGCAGAGTAATAATATCATAAGCAAATGCTGCCGCTGATCAAATCCTTCCCTCAACTTGTAAATCCCCTATAATGCGAAATTGAAACCGCAGGCAATCAGGTAATCCAACAAGGTGTCTGGACCTCCAGGGCATCCGGAACTGTCTCGTTGAGGATTCCTCGCTGTTGAGGGACTTTGACAACTGACATGTGGGAGCTGGAGGCGGCCAACGGTTTTTGGAGTGCTGTTCACTTTACTGAGGAGAAAATTGGACGGTGACAGTGAGTTGAAACACCACAGTGAATGCTTTTCTCTTTTCAAGCTGCAGCGATTAGACAGGAATTCTATGCACAAGCTACACCATGTTATTAGTGTCCTTGTGGATTGAGATGTGGCACGTTTGTAGAGAAACGCATGCACGATATTCACATATGCCACCTTATTATAAACTCTTTGTCATTCAATATTAATCAGCCACCAGCAGAGAGATGTAAAGATGGAGAAGGATAGAAGGGTGGGAGTTGGGCAAAAGGAGTGATAATGGCGAGCATGGGTTTGAGCGTTTGTGTGAGGCGGATGGTGATTTGTACACTCCATTTACTCTGCTCTCTGATCACGCACTCCAGTTACAGCTACTTCAGTGAACCTGTTATCACACTGTCAAACATGTGTCAAGAGGCTGACAGTGTGATTATTGCACGCCATATCAAACAAAAGCTCTCAGTCATCATTGCTGCCATGTCGCAGTTAAACTCACAGCATGTTAGTTATTGTGAAATTAATCAATGGTGGTTTTGTCCCGGGCTTCACTGGACAAAATTCTGCTTATTAACATCATCACATGGATAATGAAGTAGAGGAAAGTCATGTTTTGACAACAAACACTCTTTCAGCTTCGATACGGAGCTTTGCCAACTAAGTCTCATAATAAATACTAAAAAAGAAGGCTGATCTTTCCAATGCTAGTCCTACTCACCAGATGAGGGTGGGTGTGTATGAGGCTGCCATTGGTCACTTATTTTAGGCAGCTGACTCCTCCATAGACTGACTTGTGATTGGTAAGGTAAGGTATACTTTATTGTCCCATAAGGAAACTGGCCATGGGCTCGAGGCCACTGTACAGATGCGTATTTCGGCTTCATATCTGGATTGTGGGATGAAGTGGAGGAGACATGTCATCCATCTTGATATACAGTCTATGGTACCGCACAAGATGATGGTGATTGGTTAAAGAAATACAAACAAACCAGAGGGATTTTCCTCCATAAGAGAATCACATTGAGTTCAGACAGCACTGACTAAACATCATTGAGATGGTGTCTGGCTATGGACGACGATCTAGTGTGGAAAACAGCACTATGATTTAGCTTTGATAAGCGTATATTATTTCATTTTATTCTGAGAAATAAACAGTATGAATGGGACTTAAATACAACAAAGATTTGATATTATCTGGTTGAGTAAAGTGTTCCAGTTACAGTAGCTAAATACTCCAGGGAAATTTGAAAGTGTAAACATAAGAGGGGATTGTTATCAGTAAGATGTCATTCTGCCACCAAGGTGACAGAACAAATCCATAAGAGGCAGTGACTCACAAAGTAATAATCCCAGTGTATTGTAACATTAAGGAGACACAGATGATTGCATAAACTGATTGGTTCTGAGGCATATTTGTGAGTGTTTAAGTAATCCTATGGTAACAACTGATATTTCCGAGTAGGATTGTTATTCACATCCAGTTTTTCGGTTTCTGCTCACTTAATTAAAGTACCTTTTCTCTTAATTCATCTCTTCACAAACAACCACTCAGTCTTCAATCTGCATGAATACCTTCCCATGTAAACACACTCATCCTCACTCAATGGACAAAACACGCTCGATCACAGAATCAGTCTCTGTGTCCTCCACATGCAGAAACAGCACTGCTCTACCCTCACTGTGCATTTTTTTCCTCCCGTTATTCACCTTGCACTTAAACAGAGAATAACCGGTAAGAGGACTTTTTAGTTTTATAACACCGCTGATAAGGGGCCCTCGCAGTCTTTTTAGATACAGGCCTTATCTGCTTTCCTTTATGGCCGCCGCTTATCATTGATTCCTTTCCAGACATTTCAGGGGATTAGGTCAGATTTACTCTAGGATTATTTCTTTTACGGAATTCCATCCATTTACACTATCATGTCAGGGACATTATGATAACGCTGACAAGCTGAAAAATCTATTTGTGGATGAGGAAATTAAATTAATTTTACTCAAGGCAAGCACTCATCCATCTGATTTACCATGTACTTAAAAAGACGGACTTAACCCTTTATATAATGGTCATTTTCTCCATCTTGTAGGTGTTATTGGCAACTTAGACACTTACATTGAAGCTCTCAACATGCTTTTAGTTGTTTGTATGAGAGAGATGCACTTGGGATCAAGTGAGGACACAGGAGAATCCGAGACAACCCACATCTACAGAACAACTGTGGCAGATTCTTCTTTCTGCCAAATATCTGACAGAATTGGTGCCATCTAAAGTCAAAGAGTGGTCAGACCAAATCTGATTTCTTTTAACTGCATCAAGTTACTCAATAAATAAAACCTTCACTGGCTTAAATGTTTGCAGAGTTCCTTAAAGAGCTCAACCATATAGATTTTTTCTTTTATTTAAGAGTTATTTTCAAACTCTTATGACACAAATAAATGTAATTAATTATTGAGGCTTAATATTTTATACTTTAACCATAAGTGATTTTATAAATAGCTATAATTAAAAAGAAAACCAAATACAACCAACTATACAGTACTTAAATTAAGAAGAAAAACATACATGCACATCTTATCTGCAACAGCAAAAGTATTTATACCCGTGCATATTGTTTCTGTTACATATCCTTCTCATATGGGCCAATTTTTATACGTAAAGACTTTGCTCATTTAGGTTTCAATCAAATTAGCATCAACTTAGTTACGTGTAAAGCAGTTGTTTTCAGAAAAATGATTCTTTGATTACATTTCAAATGTTTGACCAGAGCTTGACTGCATAGCTCCACTCACTGAACTGAAAGGAAGCTGGAAGTTTATTCATGAGCGCTGTCGCTTTGACAAACACGCCAAACTCTGCTTTTGATTCTTGATTAGTCTCCTTGCTGAATGTTGGAGACGAACTTAATTTTTTAATTTTTTTGTAACTGATGTGAATTTCTCTTTAACTCGCTGGCGGAGATTCGGACAGTTTGGGCCACCATCACTCTTTTTTTTGCTCTGCTAATCAAACATTTGCTTTCATGCATAAACATTTGAATGTCATTCATATTTGTTGCAGTGATTCACATCTTTTAATACTATTCATGAAGTCATATTTTGTTTAATGGCGTTTCTAAAATTCCAGCCCTAATCAGGCCTCAGGTTTACCTCCCACACGGCACATGGACGGCTGTCAACACCATGTGCTGACAGATCATGTTGTGGATGTCAGAGAGAAAATCAGGTGGGTTTTGCTCCAAAAAGCTCAACCACATGCAAAATAAGCAGCCAATGCCAAAGAGTGACTTCAAATCCAGGCCTACAGGCAGCCATGTTAACAAGAACTACAACAATGAAAACCAAAATGGAGGGCATGGCAACATGAGCTAGCACTTAGCAGCAAGCTAACAGAACACACGCAGTGAATAAAATAAAATAAAACAACCAGATGACAACAGGAGCACACGATGTTAAGCTAACACTGTTAAGCTAACACTGGGAACAAACCAACAGCGTCTTACCTGTGATGGCTGTACGTTGTCAGCCTGATGAGACCAGGCCACGCTGGACAACATTCATCTGCAGAGACATGTCACTGGTGTCCAGAAGACTTTATATAAATCCACACAACCTGGGAGAATCGTCTTCTGGTTGATTTGTGGCCATTTTGTCAATGACTATTGTATAACCACGTGTTTGTGAACCTCCATTCATGTGACTGTAGCTACACCTGTGTCCACCTGAAACTTCCTGTCAAAATGGCCACCGTGGAAAAAAACCCCAACTTTATTAGCATCAACATTCGTCCTCTTCAGGCCTGAAACATGTAAAGGTCCCAGACAGCTGGTTGTTTTCAGCTCTTTCTCTTCACCGCCGCTCAGACTCAATGTATACTGAGTTTTATTTTACACTCCAGGAGAACTACAGCAGCTAGCTCGAACAGCGAAGCAGCTTTACTGTAAAGGTTTTATTCACATTCAGGCTGACAGCAGAGAGAGATGCATTATGGGAAGTGTAGGACCTGGTGATTTAGTTCGTTAGTTAGTTCCCAGTCCCATGAAACAAACTGCAGAGCAACACACAGTTAACAGTACACATCATTAGACATCATACAATAATTAAAAAAACAGACATCTCATTTATGGACACTGATCAATATGGTAACACCTTAATATGAATATGACTCCTGTGAGTCTTTATTTTTATTTATGGAAGTATAAAAATCTAATTTACCAGGCTACCTAATTACATAGATGGTTGCTCTGTAAAAAAGCTAGTAAGCAAACCTTGAGTTAAAATGAACTATTTTTATTTACCTTAACCAGGTTCAACATCTTCTAAATACTTTTGAGACTTTTTATTTTAATTTATATAAAGTGACATAAAACCTCAAGTTTTTTTAATTTTAAATCATCTTGTTTTTTAGTTTTTACTTCGCAGCATCCACCTGTGTTCCTTGACTAAATTCCTTTTCCTCTTCAGCTTTATCGCTGTGTGGAACACATGATTGATGTCTTTAAAGTCAGCTGAAGACTGTCAAGAGTAATGAAATCTGACAACTTCGTCAATATCCAATTCAGTCCAGGGAGAGCTGTGCAGGGCTCATTACAGCGATTCACCAAGTTTGATATGTGGACAAAAGAAGCAGATCATATGCTCAAAGCAGAGATGTCTCCTGGCACCTAAGAATAATACAGAGAGTAAACAACTCAGAAAAAAAAGAGTTGGCTCACCGTACAGAAGAACAAAAAGAACAAATGATTGGTTTCTGCTTCAGAGTGTATCAGCCATTTGTACACATCAGCGATCAGATTAAAACAAGCAATCCCACAGCTCATCAGCAGCCTCCAATCCTTATCAATACCCTGCAGTGGTCAATCATATTGATCCCTGATGTCTGGTGGCCGCAAACATTAAAATGCATCCCCAAAAATATATTTATTTTAAACAAAGACTGCAAGATGAATGATGCATCTCCTCTTCTTCACCTTATCCAGAAATGAAGCCATAATATCCTTCATATGAAGACTGCCATCTTGTGCATCTGGGGCCAGAGTCTGCACAGCAGCCATGGAGCTGAGGTACTAAGGTCCCGCCCATACATGCGCTCGACCAATCGTGAGTCAGTCTCAGCTGTCGATGATGGTGTAACACGGCGTGTCTATAGCATCAAATAACGAACTGAAACCAAACTTGGATGCAGGAGAAATAACAGAAACCATGTTTGAGGGAACATTTATTTTGACTTTTAAGTTCAGACCATGTCCCATCCAATAACATAGAGGAGGCTGGACTTATGAACTATGCTGCAGCCAGCCACCAGGTGGCGATCAAGACGCTTCGGCTTCACGTTTGGGGATCCATCCTGTCGTCCATCCTTATTAACCAACAGTGTATTATTTTTACCTGCCAAATGAAAAACCTTTATTTTTTTAATTTTTTTTAACCAATTCTAATAAAATCCCTACTAATACCCAATTTTCAGCTCCTCTATTCAAAATGTACAAATATTTTCATTCAACAAAGTAAGTGAAACATCTTAAAGCAACAATAGATGTATAAACTCATTTTTTCCCAAAAATGTTCCATGAGCAGTTTCCTGTTTTAAATCACACAGACAAGAATAAGAAATTAAGACAAAATATCTGACACAGCATACTTTTGATTTTGACTTGTTTTTGATTGTTCGTGCTTCATACAGAGAGTTTTGTTGATTGTCAAAAAGTATTAGTGTAGAGTCATATCCTGAGAACGATAACGGTGGTGATAATGCTGCGACTGTAGTGTCCAAGATATGAGCAGGTGGGAGACAAGAGACAGAACCAGGCTTCTTTATTACCAGAGGAACAGCCAGTGCCCACCTGTCTGATTAGTATGTGCTGCACTCCACCACAGCCCGCACGCTGCTCAATAAATACTGTAATATTCCGAGATAAGAAGTAGATTCAAAGAACATGTCAATTTCCTGTGCTCCCGTCTCTGTTCCTTTACAGAATGATTATTTATTTTTGTTGCACTCTCATCACCAAGGAGTTTTACTTTTCATGTTTTTTTTTTTCTATTCCGTTTTGCTGACAGTTGGTTGATGTGAAAGCATTTTCTCCACTTGTAACGATGGTGATACTTGAAAGTATTTACTGGTTCAGTCACACTGCTTCAAAAGAGTCAAATACTTTGCAAAGAACCTGCCAGGACCTCTCAGTGCCAGCCGCTTCAGAATGAGGCTCCACTAATGATTATTTCAAATCCAATGATTCTTTTCTCTATTAACAAGAAATTCTGTCGAGACAAAGAGTCAAAATAATGATAATCTTTCTTTCCATTTGTCGGTTAAACACACACACTCACTCCACATGGTGCCATTTAAGCAAAGCATGTGGTAATGTGCATCATGTCACTGCCATTAGAATAGAGTGAGATTAGATGAAGCAGTAAGTTTGTTGCTCTGATACAAGCGTCTAACTTCCTGATTACAACTCATTAATCAGTGACACTTTAATCAGCAGACGTTTCACATTTCTCATCAAATCTTAAGTGTCGGACTTAAGATGTTATACACACACACAGAGAGAGAGAGAGAGAGAGAGAGACGTGTGGGCGCACACACAGGTACAGTCAAGCTTGAATACCCTCGGTTCCCCCACACTTGAAAGGTACAGTGCAGCGGTACGGCCACGTAATGATCACACATGCTCAGAGCCTCAGGTTTTAATTACAGGCTTCCAGAGGCAGACAAGAACCGTCGCTTTCAATTAGAAAACACAGAGGCAATGGGCACACACAGACACACACAGACACACACAGACACACACACGCTCTCAAATATCTAGTCTGAACACAATCGCATTGAAAGGTGATTGTCAAAGCATAGGAATGTGAGACAGCTTCAAACTATTCTTAAAGCAAAAGCGTGAACACATGTTTCATTTGTGAGACAGAAAAGTGTTTTAATGATTATAATCAGCGTTGTCAAGAACAAATGCAAACCGACCCAAAGACTTGATGAAAAGATTTCAGTTACTTTGAGATGTCTGATGTTTTACTCATGTGGGTGAGCTCAACCTGGATGAACTCGGTGCTGCTTGTCTAACAGGGTTTGAGGAGACCGACGTTACTGTGGAACATTTTGCAGGTGTGTTTAGTGTATTATTGTATAATTTCCCCGAATGAATGAAACTTTTTTATTATTATTGATATATATTAAAATTCAAACATGTCCTCAAATGTAAGTACCTAAGAGGGAAGACTAACAATTACCCAAAGTTGCATTGCTCATCCAATGAAGAATGCAGGTTATAGATTGGCACTAATCCTGCTGCTCTCTCTCTGTCAACCATTCCACAGGATAATTAACACAAAGCCTCGCAGACAGTCTACCTGCTCCCCTGCTTATCGGTCTCCTAAGGACTTCACAGGTATAGGTGCAGATAGAGCGGGAAAACAAAGAACGAGCGAGTTCCTTGGATTAATGCAGGGGGAGGAAGAAGAGGCCAGAGGGGGAAGGAGAGAATATGGCTGCAGAATCCTTAATCGTGTCTTTGCACTCTATAAGACACTCAAGTGACCAGTTGCCAGAAGTACATTTATTCCTGAGCACTTCAGACAAATTGGTCGATGTTGGCCACCGCTGCTGCCGCCTTTGTTTTACTCGTCCGAGAGAAGCAGCAGCAGCAGTTTGGGGGGAAAAGTTATGGGAGAAGTCTTCAGTGTGAGGAATCGTGTGTAAGATTAATTTGCTTTCTAGAGATTTACAGTTATTGAACGGTACTGCTGGTACAACAGCTACACGTGTAACCGTTAAAAAACTTGTTCATTACGGAAACTTTGCTGCTGACTTTATGGAATTCCCTCAGAACAAAAGTGTGTGGAGAAAGAAATATATATTGATTTTTAAATCTGTGAGAGTTCATAAGGAAGGAACACATTTTGCTTGACTTTATATAGTTTTAATAAAGAAAAGATCCTAAATAAACGCTCAGCCTCTCACACGCAGGAAAGTCACATGATATTGTGAGTGGTAATATTTCTAAAATACAGAAAAAAATCAAACAAAGTGAAAGTGACAAACGGGATCCAGGTGCCTTAGGAGGATTTCAGCCAGGAAGCTCCCCTCACCCAACACTTGTCACATGCATATAGAATTGTTCTTATTTCAGCTTCTACTATGAGTTTGTAGAACGGGAATGTTCCCCCCCCACCCCCCACCGAAAGGAGATGTGGCAAAGATGAATGATGGATGGATGGATGATATCTCCTCTAGTGCCACCATGAGGTTGAGATGAATATTAATCACTTTAGTCCGTCCCCTTTTATTAACTCCTTCCGTTGCAGGGGCATGAGGTGAGAACTTGTCTTGTGCTTTGCTTTAAAACCATTAATGTGCAAATTAATTACATTCCCATCAGCCTCAGATGTACATTACTCCTGCTCAACATTTCCATGTTAACAAAGCTCTGCTCAAAGTGTTGTATTGTACTAAAGTACAGCTTCACAGAGCAACTACTGTGGCTGTGGACTCTTAGTATTGTTTCCTCAGTCAGAGTCAATTAATCTCCCTCTTTCTGTGGCTGCTCCCATGTCGTTTTTCAAATGATAGCAATTACTTACTGGTGCTTATCTCCCTGTAACATAAACACACACTGTCCTCTTCTTCTGAGGTCACACTCCCATCACAGCATGTGGATCAACTATGTAGAAAACAACAGCATATACAGGCACACCTCAAAAAATAAGATTGATAAAAAGTTCAACATTTTATTTACAAAAGTGGAAATTTAAGTAAAACATTTAATTTATTCTAATTTTGATCATTTCTTCTCAGAAGTTGGACATTTCTGTATAGTTAATCCTCTTTTGATCGATCTTAGGAAATATAAGAGTACTTCGAGATACTTTTAATTTTCATGTGCTCAAAAATACACAGACAAATATTTTTGCCTGTTTACTGCATTTTATTGAAGGCTTTGGAAAAAAGCAACAAGGATTATTTTCCAATCAAAACATAACCAAAYWTAWAMMMMAAAAAAAAAAAACCCACATCCCTCTACTTTGTGTTGTGTCCAAAACGTCACAATTAACAGAAAATACAAAGTACAGAAATCCTCTACTGTTAATCTAGTTAAGAAATAAGGAGAATAGTAAGAAACACCTTTTGAGTGTCAATGACAGGTAAGGCTGAAAGCATAAGGCTGTAATTCTGACTGCTACTCAACTCTATCACAGTGTCAAACGAGCTAGTGTCAGGATTATCTCCTTCACAGGGAGGATGAACAACCTAATGAAAACACATGACCACAGAAGTTCCAGAAGAATCGATCATTAAGGATCTTTTTTTTTTGTCTTTGGACTCAGAGTAAATTTCTACCCTCGCCAAGGTTGTTATGTTTTCTTCTGCATTGGTTAGTTTGTTAGCAGGATAACACAAAAACTACACAACCAATTTCTGAGACATTTTGTGGAAGGATGGAGCAAGACCCGAGGAAGAACCCATTACATTTTCAAGCAGACCTAAAAGAATGGGTGGATCCACATTGTGAGTACAGACATTTTCTTTACTTTTTTACAGAATAATTCATAAATCTGGATGAAAAAAATCTTTCATGTTGAGGGGACTGACAATTATGATTGTGTGCAATTTTCTGCAGACCCAGAAATCTACTGATCTACTGATCTTTGGGGAAACTAGCGCCATTTTACTTGCGTCTGCCAAAAATAGGTTACGTTCTAATTAGCGTTTGTTAGTCAGCAGAATTATGCAAAACCTATAGACATTATTTCCATGAAATGTTGTGGAAAGGTGTGGGATGACCTAAATAACAACATTACATTGAGTGTCTGAGTGCCCCTCTAATTTCTTTAAGAATTTCAAATTACAACAAACTAAATATTTCTTTATATTCTGCATGAAACAGATCCACAGGCCACTTGTAGAAATCCACCCATTTAATGCTAATGTCCAGTAACTCCTTACTTCATAATACAATTTTCCATCGATCCAATAATCGATTGTTCTGTGAAAAGCTATGCAGACGATGTGTTTTTCTGTGAACTCAAAAATATCAACGCTTCGTCTCTAACACTATAATGTCATGTAAAATCAGAAAAAAGGCGGAGAAGCGGGAAAGCTACACACAACTTTCACTAAGAGTGATGTGTTTTGCCTTAGAAGAAACTCACAGCGGCTCACAATGCGAGTTCCTCACAGCCACTGGAGTCCAAATGAAAACAGTGAAGACAAGCTAATTGCATGTAATGTTTGCAGTCAGTTTTTTGAACATGGCTTAGCACAAGGAGGCAGGATAAACGGTAACAACTCAAGCTGAGAGTCTTAATGTAAATTCAACCTAATTTGCACAATCCTGCCGCACTGCTCCAAGACCTGTTTAATATGTGCGATGATGTGTGAAGATATACCATTTGTGGAAAGATGAAAAAATATGAAACTGTTTTTTTTTTTTTGGTTATTAAAGTGCTCCGACACCATCAATTAGCAGCAGTATGTATATATACATATAAATGGGGTTCAGCACTCTTACAAATCAACCATTTTAAAATCACCCATTTAACAGTCGAGACACATTCCATCTCAACAAGAAAAGAAAAAACACCTCTGAACTCTCTCAGTAGTTACTTCAACTTCATGTCTGGTGATGACAAAACAATTATTTAAAAAAAATTGGAAGAGAAATTAACACAAACGTAAAAACAAACTAAAATGTAAAATACCATCATGCAGAATATCATCCATACTTTACATACATACAAAATTACATTTCTTTTTTTTAAAGAATAGATTCTGTAAACACTGCTTTAGGTCCTTCGGGTTCATTTTGTCCTCATATCTGCTTCCATCTGTTTTCTCCATAGAAAATAGTTCGAGGCCCCTTCTCTGGCTCCTGCAGAAGATTTTTGCTATATACTCCTCAACCCCCTCCCCCCCAACTCTTATACTATCCCTCTGATTTTCTAACCGCTCCACATTAAAACCACGGAAAGAGAAGAAACTACAAGAAATGAGTGGAAGCTCTAGTGTGGTGATGTTTTTATGTGGGCGATTAAAAAAATGTGGGGGTGCTTTGACGCTTTTAAGCACTCACACAAACCCCTTCTAAAAAAAAAAGGATGTAAAGGAATCCACAAAGAAAAGGGACAACGTGTGTGGGCAGAGGACAGTGGACAAGGCTAGGTCTGAATATAGATAAGGCATAGCATGGGTAGAGGCTGGGAAGGTTTGGATTATAGGAGTCCACACATCGGGCAGATTGTTAGCCTTTTTCCAGTACATTTAAAAAACTGGGGGGTGAGAGGGTAGCATTAGGCAAAGATGTTTACATAAGGTAGTGACAGGCTCATTCACAGGCCTTGCAGGAACTCCTGTAGCTGCCGGACGAGCTCCGTGTCCACGGTCTCCATCAGGACCCCGAAGCCCTGGTCCCCTATCAGGGCCTGCTGCGCCTTCAGCTTCTCATAGACAAACTGCTGCAGAGAGACGCTGTGCACCGGGTCCTCCAGGGCGAGCTGCAGCGGGACAGAGAAAATAGTGAGTGACAGTGTGAAGACCAACAGGATGTGACCTCAGGTATCACGTTTACTGACAGAAAACCAGCGGCTCATATTCGGTCATGCACTGTTAGAAGTACAGCATTCAACCAAACTGACATTTCATATCCTAACTGGTATCACATACTGAATTCCAAATGAAACAAAGTAAAGCTTTTTTTGGGGGGATATCCAGGTTGATGTGTTCTCTCTATCTCTTCACTGTCTGGATACTTCTCTTTGCTTCTCTCAATTCTTACACTTTTAGTACAAATAGAAATCGTGTTTTGCTGAAGTAGATGCTCTCGGTCTTTCACACCTATAACTCTGAACGTCTATCAGGCGGAGTTTGTTCAAAGAGAGATTCTCTTCAACTGAATCTAATCATCCTGCTCAGCTCTGCACTGACTGTCGTCCTTTAGATCTAAGATACTGGAGTGTAAACTGACACGAGGGTGACCTCGCACACGACAGACATTCTTGATTGGATTATGAGGTGTGAAAAAATGTTCAGAGACTGTTGTTGCGCACAAATGGAGCTTTTCTGTCAGTCATTTATCAAACCACCCATTATAGCTGCATCGTAGTGATTGAGCTGACCTGTCTCAGGAAAACAGTCTGAACATGGGGTCAAACCCATGAAACCAAAAGTGACAAGAGCTGGCTGATTAGATTCGTGTGGTTTTAAGTCATTCCTTGTGCATTTTATTTTAATGGTAAATTAAACACTTTCATTTGAAGATTGTGAACATGTAACTCAACCTGAACTGATTTAAAAACCATCTTTGGTCATTGTGTTGATACCGAAGCACCTTTTAAACTCTATGCGATTTCTTCATGACTTGTTTATGCGCAAAGCCTAAAGATGCAAATCATAATTCAAATTCTACATTTCATCTGGAGAAAACTATACATTTCCAATCCTCATGGTTCACAGATAAAGCTGAGCCCCACATACAAAGTATATGATGGGACCAAATGATAAAAGATAAAGACAGAACTCTACCTGAGCAACAATAAAGACGTGTTTTAACCGTAATGGGAATAAGCGTATTTATTATGCTTAATTCTAACAGTGGCACCAATGTAGTTCAAACGTATATTCAACAAAACCCTCATGCTGTTTTAGAGCCGCTTCAGATAAAGAGGGAAACAAAAAGCAACTCAGATCTGCTTGACTTTCCAGTTTGACAAAACCTGAGTTAGAGGCAATGATTCAGTGTTTAGATTCAGCTGCTGCCATTCACCTTACACTGAAGACAACACTGGAAAAAATACACCGTGACAACTGAGTGAAAAAGGAGGAAAAGGTTGGATGACAAGTTTCTGTTTTTACTGCATTTCAAAAATGTTTATTTTCCTATAAAAAGTGAACCAACATTTTAAACCATTCCAAACGCCCTTGTTGTTTTAAAAGCATCACGCACAATGACTAGTGTCACTGTGTGTTTGTGAGCAGCACCCTGCAGCTTGTTTTTTGCCTTTTCACTTAGGTTTACTTTGATTTCCCCAGAGATGATTTATTATGAGTTTTGACTCCCACATCCTAAAACCTTTAGAAGGCAGCTCAGCATTCTGAACTACACAAACACAAACTCCCCCAGTGACCAAACACACAAAAACTTGACATTTTGGCATGAGTTAGTTGAACAGCTCCGGAAGAGCCTCACACACCACCAGTAAAAAAAAAAGAGGAAGAGAAAAACAACTTTGGTCCTTTGAGAAGCAGAAGATTGTAATGACTGCCAATCACTCCAACGAGTACTTGTCATGCTAAACAGTTCTTGGTCATTACAATGCAATCAAACAAGTGAAGAGTAGCTGTTGGAGAGGGGCTTAATGGAAAAGCTGTCATCTAACCTTCATAATTACCTTCAACACAAAGACCTGCTGGTGACCGTGAGAGAGAGAGAAGAGAAAGTGTGTGTGTGTGTGTGTGTGTGTGTGTGTGTGTGTGTGTGTGTGTGTGTCTGCGTGTGTGTAAGTTGTCGTCGGACTGGTCCTCCGTTGCCTTGTGTGTGCCAAATATCAAGGTCTTTGTTCATAGGCAATTAGAAGTGTGCAGTGTCTCTGCAACAATGCATTTAAAGTACATTGTTATAATATCATATGCACTAATGGAGAATGCTGTAGATATACTATATTTACCACACACATGTGTACAACACGTGTGTGTATATATCTATGGATTTATTGTACATATATGTGACACAATAAAATGTATTTCCAGCGACTCCTCTAATTGTTGTGCAAGAGTCTTGAATCTTGAATATATTACAGTACACACACACACACACACACACACACACACACACACACAGATATTTACATATTATAAGTGAGTATTGAATATAATATTTACAAATTGACCTTCTACACGAAGCCAGAAAAACAGACAATTAAAACAAAAGAATACAACAGTGTGTGAATAAATGAGCACCTCAGTTTGCAGCAGTTGTGTAAAGTAAGAATAACACAAGGTTGACAATCAGCAGATGAAGATACAGATATATTAAGTGTTAGGGAAGAGTGTGGTGAGGAGAAACAAGCTTAGAAGCAAAATGTTTTATGTAGAAAAGATAAAGAGTGAGATTCTGGGGACAACTGCTGAGTTGAATATCTGGGCAAATGAAAACAGATAGTGAAGCTACCAGTAAGAACAATAAGCATGATCCACTGTCATCCCTGAGGGAAAGCAGGAGACTGTGATGAGAAGAAGAGGAGAACAAACAGAGGCACGAGGCAAGAAGAGGTGAGGACTACTAGGAAACAGAGAGGTACCGTAAAGGAAAACTTGTGCATGGAAAGATGTCATGTGGATCAGCCAGGATGACGGCGTGAGAGGAGAACACCATAAAGAATGTGAGTGACGCAGAGAGGATGACGTGGGACGGAGAGAGAGGGGGGGGGGGGGGAGCCGGCAAACACAGCTGAAGCTCATTGTTCGGGAGAGAGTGGAGGAGGAAAGAGAGGAGTGGGCAACATGAGAGGAGGCAGAGAGAGAAAGGAAGAGAGAGACGGACATGACAGGGTCTGTGAAAGCCCTGGTCTCTAATGTAATCCCCAGACTGCTGCTGCCCTTCTCCAAAGCAAACAAAGTGAGGAGTCCTGTGTCCTTACTGTAAAAACATCAGTGCTGCTCGAAATCAGCCAGACACACAGACACACACACACAAACACAGACGCACACATACAGACGCACACATACAGACCTTTTCAAATAAAGTTTCTATCTTTTGATGCATGTGGTCACGTTCTTCTAGCCGCGTGAACACAAATGCATCCTGCGCCACATTGAAGGACCACCTCCTCTGGCTTGAAACAACTTAATAAAGAGGGAAAATATTTCTACACTTCTCAGTGTTTCCAATACTTGACTTTATTTGTGGCTATGTAAATAAATCAAACTGCTACATACAAACACAAACAACGGGAGAGGCTGACTCAGGATTGGTCGAGCACTTGCATCTCCACACTTGCAACTGTGAAGTGGAGTTAATGACGCAACACCCTACACTGTGTTCCAGCTCTTATCCTCATATCCAGTTCCTCAAGTCTAACTCCAAACACACAAATACAGCAAGTGTACATTGTGTATGTGATGTAATTAGCTGTGGGTCTGTATGACGTACTGGAGTGTAAACCAAGCACTGTATTGAGTAATCAGATGCTGCCAGCGTTGGGTTTAGTGGATTACACTGCAGGCAGATGTTAATTTCATCAGCTAATTTATGACACGTCAGCTACGGGCCTCGGGAGCCAGTCACCTTCAGCATCGCTGACTCGACTTGAAAGCAGCTGTCAAGTGGTCAAATATGACTCAGAGGATCACGTCGATCCAACTGATGTTTGGGACAATAAATCTAAGCACTGTTTAAAAATGCATCAGTGTAACATGTTGGAAAAACTTGTACCTTAGATTTACGTAACAATCTTAAAGGAAAGTTTACAAAGTCAAAATATACTTTCATAATCAGCTGGTGCTTTTTTCTATTGTTCAAATTATTAATTACCATTGTCTAAATGGATCATAGATCATTGACAGCAGAAGATTTTCTTATTAACTTTACTGCTACAGGTTCAACTGTGTCTGGGCAGTTAAATAGACCCAATCAGTGACAACTCATTCAAACTGTCAGTAACTTTCATTCCTCTGAATCAAAATGACATGTACCTCAACCCCAGAGGACACAATTCACCAAATCTGACGCACATGCTCTAGGGGCAAATTCCTGATGTGACACATTGATTGATGATTGTGGAAGTGTCCCGCGAGATAATCAGCCACAACATTTGAAGAAACCAATCTTGGAGCCATCGGCTATTGTCTGACGATGTATTAGCACACAGGATCTGTTTATAGAGATTTGAGGACAACAACAAAATGACGGAAGTCCAGCACGGTCTCATGATATAAACCAATTATCGCTGAGAATATCTGCGGTAAATGGAGGACTTGTCGATAGCCTAACTGAATGACAATGTGACCTATGACTAGCTGCTGTCATACCTGGAAACCATGGTAACCACTGCAGTTCCCCAGTGTAATTGCACACAAACCAGATACTGTGTCAGGCTGGGATTTTCTACAGGTCTTTTCCTGTAGCATGTTTGGTGGAGCTTATAATTTAACACTCTGGGATACATGTTGTATGATTAAGGCACAAGAGGTTTTCACAACTGCAGCAGATACCTCCATCCCTGTTTAATGTCGACACAACTTGGAAACTTGACTAAAATATTTGATCAAATAAACAGGTCATATTTAATAAAAATACACCTCTGTCTCTCTAAAGGCCACAAACAGGTTTTCTACTTCTGTCAAACAAAACACTGTGCAAAAAAAACAAACAAGGAAACATTAAATGTGAAGCATCTGTAAATAATGCACCACTGCTTTTCTTTTTTTTACAAACCAGGTCTTCATCTGCGGTGTGGACCGGCGCTACACTGTGTCTCCCTTTATGCTGCAGGAGAAC